TTCACAAGACTCTCCATAGAGGTGACTAAATTCTCTTGCTGATGATGTGCATTAGCTCTTTTTTTAAAAGACAAAGGGAAAAATTGATGTAACAGCTCTCCTTTGGGGAGGAATTCATGTCCTCTGTTGATCCCCTAGCACCTCCTGCCATGAGCCAAAAAGCAAGAATACTTAGATTTGGGCCAGAAAAAGGACCAAGAATCTGTATTGTGACCAAGAGTGAAGCCATGTTTACTCAACCAGTAAAAAGAGAAGTAAAATCATTGTTTGTTTTTCATTGAGAAATTTACCAGGAGGTGTAACCGGGAGCTCTCCTCTCTTGAGGAGCTCTCTCCACACATCTCAGTTCCACGCATAACAATGATTCTATGGCAAACACTTTCCAGTGGGAGCTTCCTTTATAATCAGGGGAAATCTTGTTCTACTATTAGATAATCTCTAGGGATTAGTTTACTTGGATGGACATACAAGATCAATGCTTGTAAGTGGAAAACTATTGTTCTGTGTTGTTTTTGAACTATCATAGTAGGAAATAAACATTTGTAAAGCCAATTCTAAAAATCGCTCAAATTTTGAGATAAAAACAAACCTATTAAGACAAAACTCTGTGTAGTTTTTTTAGGACGAGTAGGGAATTCACCAACATGGTAATAAGTATATCTAGATGACTATTTTGGGCTCCTGGTGTGGTGCAGTAGGATCAGCACTGGACTGCGAACTACAAGGTAGGTAGTTCAAACTCACCAGCTGTTCATTGGAAACCCTATACAGGGTTGCTATGAGTCGGTACCAACTTGACGGCACTTAACAACAACAAAAATGACTATTTTAAGACTGTTGTTACACTTTCAAAAACCAAAATACTGCATCAAGTCAATTCTAACTCACAGCAATCCTCTGTGGGGTTTCTAAGCCTGGAAACCTTTACAAGAGCAGACAGCCTCAGCTTTCTCTCATGAAGTGGCTGGTGGGTTTACAGTGGTGGTTAGCAGGCAGACACCTAACTGGTACTGCCCCCAGGGCAACTTTCATATATATGTGGAGTCCTGGCGTGGCACTGTAGGTTAAGCACAGGACGGCAAGGTTGGTTTGAACCACAAAGTCAGCTGTTCAAACTCACCAGCCATTCTTTAGAAACCTTATATAGGGTAATGTAGTCAGAACTGACTCGACAGCACCTATAACAATATATATATATATATATTGTTGTGTGGCGTCGATTCAGTTCTTACAGTGATCCTATATAGGGGTTCCAAGAGCAGTTGGTAAGTTTGAACTGCTGACCTTGCAGTTATAAGTCCAGTGCTTATCCTACAATGTTAGTCTAGGCTATCTATCTATCTATCTATGTGTTTATATATATGTTTTTGTTGTTAAGTGCCGTTGAATTTATTCCAGCTCATAACAACCCTGTCCAGAGTTTCTGAGGAGAGGCTGATATGTTTGAACTGCCAACCTTGTGGTTCAAACCCACCAGCCTTTCCTTGGAAACCCTCTATGCAGGGTCACTAGGATTCAGAGCTGACTCAATGGCATTTCACACCAACAATGTATATATAATTGTTGTTGTGTGCTGTCAAATCAGTTTCAACTCATAGCAGTGCTGTACAGGGTTTCGAGAGCAGCTGGTCAGTTTTAACTGCCAATCTTGTGGTTAGCAGTACAGTATTTATCTTACATCACCATACCAATATATACATAATTTATTATTTAGTATGTAATTCTTATATAACTAGAAAGTAAATGTCATTGAGATTTTTGAAATCTGCTTCAGCTATATTTGTAATGTTTTCTTGTATAAAAAGGCAAAACAATGCTATGATACAGTTACATTATGCCTAATAATTTTCAAAATGTTTATAATATTTCACTTAATTTTCTTAACCAAGTGAAACACAAGATATGATACATAAAAATATTAAGCTATCCTGTGAAAACCAATTTATAGTGAAGATGAATTTGGATCAAAATAAGAATGATAAAATCAAAAACTTTTCCTTTGAAGAAAATCTATCAAACAAATTAGAACCTGAGTCAGTATTAATCCTTTCCTTACTAAACACCACACAAATGATAGCAATGAGCTTGCACTTTTTTTTTTTTTTTTTTTTTTCCTGCCCTGGAACATTTGTTTATTGACCTCCTAATGTTATACTGAGAGCAAGCTGGGACATCCCTGGTGTTTTTACCTGGTAGGAAAATGTTAGCATTTTAACATTTGGCAAGCTGAAGACTTTGAATAAATCAAGGCTTTGAACTGGCTTTTCCTGGTTTAGCCATGGCCAATGAAGCAAAACAGACTCAAATTTATAAAACGTGATGAACTGGAATGCTAAGTGGAATGGGAAAACAACAGGTCCACACCCTGTCTGTAACTTAATCTCCCTCTCAGAAAACAAAGGCAATATGTGCACTGCATAGCAACCATATCTCTTCACTGGCAGGATCAGAAATAACAACATCCCACTCAAGGAGCTCTGCTAGCGTAGTGGTCAGCAGTTCGAAACCACCAGCTGCTCCGTGGGAGAAAGATGAGGCTTTCTGCTCCCATAAAGATTTACAGCCTCAGAAACCCTGTACAGGGTCGCTATGGGTCGGAACCGACTCCAGGTACTTAACAACAACAATTCAAAGATGGCAGCTGATGGCACTGCTTTGAATGTGTGTTTGCTCTCCACAGTTCTGGTATGATATGAATCCATGTCCCACATCAGTCTTATGAAAGGGCTCACTATGCCTCTTGTGAGTCTTCCATTCCAGGGCTTTGATTCATAATTTTTCCCATTCCAGTTTTCATTTTGCTGCCTCCATATTTTAAATTCTTGAGCCTGTCCTAATTTTGCTGTGTCCGCTATATCTGAGCCAGTTCAAATGATTTCAAAGCTCTGGAATAAAGACTTCAAGGTCATTTTAAAAGGCACTAAGATATAGTGTAGCGCTGTCAGCTAATGCGCTGGACTGCAAAGTCGGTTTGACTTGCAAGGTCGGTGGTTCAAACTCACTAATGACTCTTCAGAAACCCTATACAGGATCGCTATGAGTACGAACCAACTCAATGGCACTTAACAACAATAACAACAAGGTATAGTGGGTTAAGACTAAGGTATCGCTCTAAAGCCAAACTATCTGGGCTCAGACTTCTGAACCCAGCCATTATATTTTCATTTGACATCATATAGGATTTCTTTTGTTTTTCAGTGAATTGTTTAATATTTTTCCTCCGAAGTACAAATGTTTTATGTATGTAAGTTTGGACTATCTTTTGAGGAAAGGTTTATTTTATTTAAAAAATTATTTTCTCACAAAGAAAATAAAATTCAAGATACTATGCTCTATAGGATCAGTACTAGACTGCAAACCACAAAGTTTGTGGTTCAAGTCCACTAGCCACTCTTCAGGGAAAAATGATACTTTCTGCTCCCACAACATTTTAAAGCTTCAGAAAGCCTACACAGGGTAATTATGTATGCATCAGAATAAACATCATAGCAACAGCAACAATGAATGCTAAGGTGCACCTGATCCAAGCCATGGTATTTTCAATCACCTCATATTCATGCAAAGCTGGACAATGAATAAGGAAGACCAATGAATTGAAGCATTTGAATTATGGTGTTGGTTAAGACTATTGAATAACACCATTGACTGCCAGAATGAGCAAATCTGTCTTGGAAGAAGTAGAGCCAGAATGTTCCTTAAAAGCAAGGATAATGAGAGTTCCTCTCACATACCTTTGGCATGCTATCAGGAGGGATAGACATCATATTTGGTGGAGACTCGATGAAACACGGTTGACCTTCAATGAGATGGATTTCCACAATGGGCTCAAACATAGAGACGATTGTGAGGAAGACACAGGTTTGACCAGTGTTTCATTCTATTTATTGTGCATTCCGTTGTACATAGAATCGATATGAGTCAAAACGGACTATGGTACTTAAACATCAACAAACACCAAACAAACCCAGAAATGCTAAATTAAAATTAATTTCCAAGAATTAATTTCAGGCCTTGGGGAAGACTGAGAAGACACCTTTCTTTTTCTGATGCATAGGAAGGAAATGACAAAAGCGTCGGGTTCCTGGAGACTGGGAGATTTTAGTGAGAGATGGGATGGGGCCAGGTGAAAAAGGCAGAGACCTGAACAAGACCCAAGAGATGCCTGGATCTTGTTTTCCATTAAAAGCATGACTTTGGGGGGATGAACCCACAGGTCTGAAGAAAGGTGTGAAGTCATAAACAGCTAGATTTGAAGGATGTGTGCTTGGGTTCACCTTCTGGTAGCCAGGCGATGCTTCCAGTTCCTTATAACCCCATTGCATCAGTCCTTATTCTCCGCGCGTCGGGGTAGCCTCTGCAGAATGCGCAGGGGGGCACTAGTGAAGTCTAGTGCAGCAGCACAGCGGGTCTCCACCACCGCAGCTGAGCACCTCCCCCTCCCCTTCTCTACGGAGCTCATTAACAGGTGGAATCACACCCCAGGCTTCTGAAGTCCCTCCGGCCTCCATAGAAACCAATCCTGCCGACCCAGAGCGCACCAGTAAGCCGGCGGGCTTTGGCGCAGGATGTCAACCCTGGCCGACCAGAGGTCAGCGCCAATGAGAGCCTGAGCACCCGTGGGACGCGCCGGCGGGAGCGCAGCACGTGATGCCCCTCACTCTTTTGTCCACCTAGCCATTCGGGAGTCTCCGCTCCTCTCCCGGAGTGCACGCCTCTCCTGGCTTCCACACCTATCAAGCCGCAGTGTACGTCGACCATTTATGGGAAAATACAGACAACCACTGCAGAGGGTTCAACAACTAGCGTCCATTCTTGCGCAATCCAAATTCTTTAGGCAAGAAGGCACCAGCACTCCCAGCTTCGGGGAGTTGGGAGAAAGAGGGACTGGGAGACTGCGCCCCAGATTTTCCAAACCCGCAGACCCTCTACCCCACCCGAGCGCCCACTGCCACTCTGAGGGTCTGAGCCCTGCATCCCAGAGCCCCGGGTCTGTGCGTTACCTGTTGGCTGCCAGCCGAGAAGCAATGTAGCCTCCTGGAATCTGGGTGATGATGTAGCCCCAAAAGAAGGAACCATGGATCATCCCCACGGTTTCCGGGTCCCAGTTGAATTTAGCTTTCTATGAGGGTAGAAACAGACCAGTAGGAAGGAGAGAGAAGATCAGTGCTTGGGCTGGAAACTCACGTTCATCGGTTCGCAGACTAAAATGCCCTCCACCCCTGGGGCACTCCCTGTATCCAGGAGTGGGTGTGATTGAACGTTTGTTTCCTTAACAAAACGAATATATACTGTCTTATGGTGAAGAAATGCTTCTCTTAACTGGAAAAAACAAAAACTGCTCGTTAACTAAATATTTTGTAATTACTAGTTGGGGCTATAATAAGTAAAAAAAAATACCAATAACAACTCAGATTCCGCTTGGCGCCCGGGCTTTGCTCCCAGACCACTTTCAGGTATATCAGAATAGAATGAGGAATTTGCAAGGCCCTCGGGTCAGAAATCTGCAGTTCAGGTTATAAAATTCAGATGATAAGAATATCCAACAACCAATTTTAGGAATTGGATCATCCATAGGGATACTCTATTAGCAGCCTAGAGAGTGAAAGGCTGGACCAGGGTCCATCTAAGCGACCCGGCCACGGCGGGCGCGGACATAGCAGCGACGCTTGGAGAATGGCTTCCAACGCTGGAAATAGGAAGAATAAGGAACTCTGGGAGGTGGGAGTTGGAAACCGAGACTGCAGCAAGGATGTCCTTGCAAAGAAAGTGGGGGATGAGTGTGTGGTGGGAAACAATTGGAGCACACCCGACAAGTCTGAGTCAGATGGGAGGGAGGCAGTACTCCAGGCAGAAAGAAGTGCGGGTAAGGTCGTGGCCTAACTTTGTCCTTGTCCCAAGAGGTAAGTTTCAAATTAATCTGGGGTGAAATAACCTCATTAGCAGGGTGAAAGGGTGCTTATCCGCTCAGGGATCTGGTTAACTATAAAAATTTGAAACTAAACACAATTTGCACAGTCTCCTGGACTCCCCTGGGTCCAATGGTGCTCACTTCTCCCCGGATACAGCACATTCTGAAAGGTCTCTACCAACCCCTCCTCCGCCTGGTTTATTGACACACCGGTCCCTAAACACGGAAGGTGGAGCCTAGGGCTTTTGTGACCCAGAAATGAATCTCTCCTATCTAGGCGTCATCACCACCCCCAC